GTCTAAAAATAGATTATTATGAAATTCATAATAATCTATTTTTAGACTTCCTGGTTTTCACTCTCACGCACTCATATACAATTAATGCATAGATACAGTCGATGTACTTACATGGAAATCCCTTACAAGATTCATGAACTTATCTTTGCACTAGTACCCATTGAAATTTGTATTATGTTGTTGGTTAATTTTCTTCGCAATACTCTCCCAAAATCCGATGCGGTTACGAGAAATGATATTGTGGTATTCAGTATTTCTGCTTTTTCTCTCATCAATTAATATGCGGATTTGTGTATCAGTCCATTCAACCATTTTTGAGATATAGGAAGTATAATAAAATGGAAGATTAAAAGAAGTATCCAAACTTTATATAAAACTCTCAAATAAGCATGTAAGACATAACAAACGATGACATTACCTTATTTTTTCTTATGCAAAGTCTCTACAAGTCATCATATTCGAAGAACCAAAAATTCTCTTGAGCAAGGCTAGTCACGTGGTTAACAGATCATTATATGTAGAGATGTAATTATATGGTACGTAACTTATATGTAATATATTTTTGATAACTATTCGTCAGATTATACCTATTTGCACAACTTAATAACTAATTTAACATTATCTAATTTTATTGAACTGATAAACACTTAAACTGTAAACTCCCAGCTCTTTTTAAACGATAGCATAGCGGGCTTTCGCTAATTATACTAAAAACGAACTCAAAGTAGAATATTTCACAAAATATAACAGCATTAATTGAATAAAAGATACATTTATTTAAATTTTAATTGCAATAATTTATTAATTTGGTCTAAGAGTATTGTCATATATATAATTCGATTATATTTTAAAAAAAAACATCGATATATTAAATTTTAACGGACTATTAGATACGTTTATAAAGAGTTTGTACCAAAACTAAATTGTTAACGATGAATACAGTAATAACAAAAATAATTATCATAAATTAATATATTGTAAATAAATTAAAAGAAATAGTAAACAATTGCAAGTAAAAAGTAAGCAAAACTCAAACCTA